TGTGCTACATACTGTGCTAAGCACTTCACAATTATTATCTCATTTGATCCTCGCTAAGAACCCTGGGAGGTAGGTGCTATTATTATTCCCATTTTACAGTTGAGGAGACTGAGGCAAACAGAGGTGAAATGACTTGCCCCATGGTCACAGAACTAACTAAAGTGTCTGAGGGCAAATTTGAAGTAACTGTGCCACCCAAAACAAAATTAACTGAAAAAATCAATTCAAAAACAGGATTTTGAATGGGATGGTATCATTATTCAAACCACCTCAATTTATAACTGAGGAAAACGAGGATACTGTGGGATCCCATTGGAAGCAGGATGGGGAAAGCAGGGAGGGTCTGAGCCAGGGTGGACAGTGCCTGGGATTCAGGGGAGGAAGCAGACCATGTGGTAGTTTCCTATTTTTAACTAATTATTCTTACTAACTAGGTGCTAACTTCAGTTTTTCTAGCTTCTAAGGGTGAAAGTACTGTCAGGGTCCTTTAAATTCAACACCCTGGGGCAAAGCCTTGATTGTCTCAAATTCCGAGCTCTTTTCTCCTAAATTGTACAGAACATACATTTCAGACAATACATTGTCAAGAAAGAAGATTTGAGTTCAAATCTAACCTCAGATACTTACTAGCTGAGTGACCCTGGGCAAGTCACTTAACTTCTGTGCTTCAGATTCCTCTTTTGTAAATAGGGATTAAAAAATAGCACCAACCTCTCAGGGTTGTTGTTCAAAAAAGAAAATAATTGTAAAGTGCTTTGCAACCCTTAAAGTACTCTATAAATAAACACCATTATTTTTACCAAGAAGCTGTCACAAACATTCTTAATATTTTTCCTCCCTAACTGCATCCTATTATTGAATGTAATCAGGTATTAGAGAGAAAATCGACAATTGTCCTTAGCATGATAATGACATAATGTCTACATTTTACTAAAGATGAAGATATATAGGTGTGTATGCAGTGTGCTGCAGATGGACAACAAATTGGTGCCAGAATTGAATAAATGGGAGAAGGATGACTGGGCAGCATTGAGGAAATCATGTGGTACTTCCTTTCCCCCACCCCTCTCCCCATCAGTGCATGTGACACAGAGGAGAATGCAGACTGTTGGGGGAAGGGTTCAGGGGGCTACAAGTAGTCAAAGACCAATTTCCTTTAATAACTTGTCCACAAGAAATGGTCCAAAGATCATCACTTGTGAAACATAAAATAAGAAAAGCAATGTACCAGTGAGAAAGGACAATAGATGGGCAGCCCTAGTACTGAACTGGTACCCAGGAAACATTAGATACAGCAAGTCTTACAGCTTGGTAGCAGAATATATTATGCAGAATCCATAGGAGACCAAGGGTAAGAATGGGACAGGAGGAACGGATGTGGATGGACTCTGATGTTGGAAGTACCCACATAGATGAGATCACAGAGGCACTGGAAGGAAGTAGGAAAATACGATATTGACAGTAATCTTAACTTTTTAGCCCAGCCTTTTGTTACTTTGAAATGGCTGGTCCCCAGTTAACTCTCTGCTCATCCACTTACTGAGGCAGCTAGATGGTACAATGGGTAAGAGGGCTAGACTTGGAGTCAGGAAGCCCTGAGTTCAAATTCAACCTCAGATCTGTAACAGCTGTGTGACCCTGGACAGGTCACGTAACTTCTGTTTGCCTCAGTTTCCTCAGCTGTAAAATGGAAATGACCCTCACAGAGTTGTTATGATGATAAAATCAGGCTTTGCAAACCTTAAAGAACTAAATAAATGCTAGCTATTATTATTAGAGAGCCAACTACTTTGGAGATCTGTTTTCTTATATAAAAGGCAAGCTCAGTTCCTTTCCTATTATAATAATCAGAGTGGGCCTGGGCAAAATTAGGATGTACTTGAAGTTCCTGTTCTGCACCTTTACTTCCCCTTTTTAAGACTTTTCCTTCTTTTCAAAGCCCTGTCCTCTCCTGCTCCCTTTTCTTCCTCCCTAAACATCAAGGGGTCTTACTTCGGGTTTTCTTTGTCAAGGAAAAAAGCAGAAGATGGTGATCCACTTAACATCTCAGGATGAATGCCTTTAATTTCAAAGGTTCTTCACCTGGGGTCTGTTTTAAAATATATATAAATATATATATAAATAAATAAATATATAAATATATATATATATATATATATATATATATATAAATATATATATATATATAAATATATATATATATAAATATATATATATATATATTATAAATATATATATATAAATATATATATATATAAATATATATATATAAAATATATATATATATATATATAAATATATATATATAAATATATATATATATGTACATACACACATATGTACACACACACACACACATATATATATATATATATATATTGCTAACTGATTTCAATGTAATCAATATCTTTTTTAGTCCTATTTGTTTTATTTTATGCTACTAAAAAATATTCTGAGAAGGGGTTCATAGGCTTCACCAGTCTGTCAAAGGAGCCCATGACACGCACAAAAATATGAAGAACCCCTGCTTTAATTCCTTGCACTTCCCAGGAATATCTGCATTTTAAACAAAAGCCTGGCAGGGAAAGGAATTCCAAGGAATGATTCAGAACCAGTGTTTCTGATTTCTGAGTCAATGCTCTTTCCTCTGTACGGTGCCATGCAACTGGTTCTCTCTCATAACCAATATCTTCTTTTCTTTTCCTCTCCCCACCAAAACCACACAAATGTAAAAAATAAAACAAAACAAAACAAAACAAAAAACCCATCCCCAAACAAATCAAATAACAAACCATACACGTACAGAAAGTCAGCATTAAAAAAAACCAACACCCACCAATTTGTAGAAGTTAACAATCTAAGAAAAACACCAGGAAAGTAAGGAGACAGTTAATGAAAACATCTCTCCTTCAGAAGCTCTTAGGAGGTATATGTTGGAGGAAGAAAAACAAACAAACAAACAAAACCAACTAGTAGAGCAAAACAGAAAAGAGAATGCAAATTCCAAACGTAGCTGTTGCTAGACTCTTTCTTCAGGCCAGTACAAACATCAGCTGACCTCTCTCTTGAGTTAGATTGATTTGAACCCTACTAAGTTCCTGTGTAAAGGAGAGTTCATTGCCACCAGACTCTGCTACATACCATTTCTGACTGCTCCATTTTATTAGGATCCATTCCAATCAGAATAATCTGGTCATTGTTGAAAGAAAACAAGCAGTGATCACTTTTGTCGTGCCCCAGCTGGCTTCCTTATATTTCTTTGACTGGGAGGCCTGAAATGACTCAGTCGCCCCCAGAGAATATTGTTCTGCAGGACTTTACACAATCCTCAGGAAACCACACTCAACACTTGGCCAATGCTTGCTGATTTGATTGAACTCAACGAAAATAGAGGTAAAAGCACATTTTATAAAGATTCCAATTTAGAGAGGTAACAGGACTGTTTGGGGAGGGAGTAGAAAGCCTGTGAATAAAGTTCAACAGCCCTGCCTTTGTTTATGCAGCACTTCTATGAAAAGAACAATAAAATATCTAAGCAAAAGCTCCCTTTCTGACATTGACTGCTCCCATATAAGTCAGGAAACAGTTAGGTAAGACCAAAGAGGTCAGAGAATAAGTAATAAGTGTTAACTCAAGACTTGGTCAGATAAAGTAGAGTAGACAGACAAGTAGGCATTTTTTCAGTCATGTTCGACATTTCATAAACCCATTTGTGGTTTTCGTGGCAAAGATACTGAAGAGGTTTGCCATGTCCTTCTCCAGCTCATTTTACAGCTGAAAAAACTGTGGCAAATAGGTTTAAGTGACTTGCTCAGGGTCACACAGTTAGTAAGCGTCTGAGGGTGGATTTGAACTGAGGTCTCTCTGATGCTAGGACTGGCACTCTAACCATGGCACCACAATAGCTGCATATTGTATTGTACTATGTTATAGTTATCTTTAAAAAATATGTTTTATTAATACCACTTATTTTTGTAACACCTTTATTTCAAAATATACTGCTTCTTCCACATTACCTAGCAAACCATCTTTTGTCACAAAGAATAAAAAAAGAAAGGTATTTTTAAAAGCAATTCAGCAAAACTAACACATTAATCCTGACAGTATATTCGGTACTCCACACCCATAGTCCCTCACCTCTACAAAGACGGGAAGTAGATCTGTTTTCTCAACTCTTCTCCAAGGCCAATAATTCTTCTGCTCTGTTAAGTTTTATTTTTTATTGTAAATGCAACAAACATCAGTATTTTGATGAATAAGAACAGAAAGGAGGACTGAAAGCTGCAAATTTCTCTTACATATACATATGTATTCATGCATATACATATATATATACATATATAATTTAATTCTATAGCAACAAAACTGTCCTGATTGTCTGTGTCCCCTTCTGAACTTCCTTCTATTCTCTTCTTTGTGTTTTTAAAATGTTTCATTGATGTTCATTTCTTTTCTCCTTTTTTTTGCAGCAATATCATTACTTACCAATATCCATCCACTGTCTAACAGACCTCCTTTTAACAATTTGTTTTAATCAAAACAAATCAACTTCTTCACTTATGTGAAAATGTGTGCCTAATTCTGTACCTCTAGCCCATCACCAACAGCGCTTGTTATGCCAAGAAGTATGCTAAGCACTTCACAAATATTTTGATTCTCACAGCAAACCAGAAAAGTGGGTGCCCAGAGAGCATCTAGCCCAGTCCACTTTTTTTACAAGTGAGGAACCCATAGCCGTAATTCCCCTCTATGTGACTCCTGGAGCACCTTCTGGGAGACACAGACAATCAGTGGCTTTCCGTGCCCAGTTCCCGTCATTGCTCTGGCAGAGGCTCAGTGGTGGCCTTGGGAGAGCCCGGAGCCTCCGCCCACATCTGGCCGCTGCCCAGCCGACAAGCTGCTGGGACAGCTGAAGGTCGCCAAAGGCGTGCCTGGATTCTCTCCCTTTCTGGGGACCCGGAGAGGCTCTGGAGACGGGAAAGGTAGCGCAGGGCATGGCGTCGCGACTTGGAGCCTGTAGGGGCTCCAGCTGGCACAGGGGGTGGAGTAACAGCTCCGAGCCTTTGTGGGCCCCTTAAGTCGAAAATAGAGGTAGAAAGAAGAGGAATAACAGGAATAAAGTGCAGAGCATAGAAACACGCAGTCTCCCTGCGCATGAGCCCTTGGGCGAAACCAAGGGGACCCTTGAAAGATGCCAGCTTTTCGTTTTCTTTTTCTTAATTGAAGGACCCCGCCCCTTATTGTTTGAGATGCCTCTGGCACGCGCATCCTAGAACAACCTAACTGCTGAGTCACAGTGAGCTAGTAAATCAGGGTCCGTTGCTATATAGCCCCGAGAGCAGCTCCAGTGCTCTGGCAGTAAGATTTTCTTAGGTGTGCGGTGGGGGGAGGGGGGGAAACTCTGCAGTGCCCTCTGACACCGAGCCTCCAGGCACATTTATTCAGTGACCCCCTCCAGGTCATCCGTTTCAGTGGGCCAGCGTAAGTACAGAGTCACTGCCTAGGCTAGCGAGGGTTGAGGATGGGGTGGGGGGAGGGGACCATCACCGAACTTCCTGACTGACAGGCCTTGCCTGGCTGAAGCTGCTAAGGCCCATGTCATCCTTTCCCCAGTTCATTTGAGAAACCTCAGTAAAGAGTAGTGTATCTGCACAGGTTTGTGGAGCAGGGGGGAGTGAGGATTTGCCTTGGAAACACTTTGTAGTAACCTGCAACTTACAGAATTTTGAATTGGAATGTAGCTCAGAGATAATCTAGGTGTGTGGTCTGTTTGTCTTCTAGCTTCCCAGGAAAAGGCAAGTTCAAGTTTTCTTAGATTTCCTCACTTAACTGAATACTATTTATATTCACTTGTTCCGCTTGGGTTTAGGTTTTCTTCACCTCTAGGAAGGAAATGAATTGGATGGGACTAAGTTCCTTCTCATCTCTAGCTTTCTTTGGTTGTGACATTTTTGATTGTTTTAACAGTGAATACATGTGCCTTGGTGACTTTGTTTCCCCTTTTCTTTCTTTTTCCCTCCCCTCCACCCAGAAAGAAAAAAAAAGGGCCTGAAGTAAGAATTTACTCTTCAGATTTCACAATGGGAAATCCCAAGAAAGTCATGCTCACAGTTCTCAGCCAGGAGCAGGCGGAAGGTGTGGGTGCTCGAGTTCGGAGAAGCATTGGCCGGCCTGAGGTATACTGGGTGATGCTTATTGCTCCTTATTCCTGGGCTCTTGGAGAAGGATTGATGTGAAAATGAAGGGAAGGTTGAGGATACTTTCTGTGTCCCTGTGCCCTGGGTGATTGAGGGCAGAGGCAAGCATGGAGTGGGCCACTGTGACACATTTGGAAGACATTTACAATAACATTTGGGAATGAAGGTTGGAACTTGGTGGGGAGAAGGACCATATCTCAATAGAAAAAGGAGAGGAAAGTCTATACTAAGAAATACATCTGTAAAACACTCACTAAACATTTATTAAGCACACCTACTACACTGTACTAAGCACTTGGGATTCAAAGAAAAGCAAAAGACAGTCCCCGGGGTCAAGGAACTCACAAGTCTAATGAGGGAGATAATATTCAAACAACTATGTACAAACATGCTATATACGGGATAAATGGGAGCTAATCACAGATGGAAGGCACTAGAATTAAGAAAGCTTCCTGTAACTGGCACTTGAAGGAAGCCAGGAGGCAGAGATGAAGAGAGATAGCCTTCCAGGCATAGAGGACAGCCAGGGAAAATGCCAGAGCAGGGTTAGTTGGATTGTAGAAGGTTGTAGAATATTTGTGGGAGAATAAAGTCTAAGAAGATCCTAAAGGTAAGAATAGGCCAGGTTGTGGAGGGCTTTAAATGCCAAGCAGAGGACTGATAGATCCTGGAGGTAATGGGGCCATTGGAATTTATTGAGTAGTGGTGACATAGTCAGATCTGTGCTTTAGGAAAATCACTTTAGCAGCTGAGTGGAGTATAGATTATGATGATTATGAGTATGGAGTATGCATTGGAGACTTGAGGCAGGGAGAATAATTAGCAGCTATTTCATATATTAGGCTATACCAGATAGTTTTGATATTTCCTGCCTTATAAGATCTGGTGCTGCTAAACCTCCTTACTTGACATTTTTTTTGTTAGTTCCTTTGATATTCTTCACTTTTTGTTCTTCCAAATGAATTTTGTTATAATTTTTCCTAATTCAATAAAATAACTTTTAGGTAGTTTAATTGGGATGGTATTGAGTATATAAATTAGTTTAGGTTAAGTGGTCATTTTCATTATATTGGCTCTGCCTACTCATAAACAATTATTTCTCCAATTATTTAAATTTGATTTTATTTGTATAAAAAGTTTTTTTTTATAATTTTGCTTATATAGTTCCTGAGTTTGTTTTGGCAGGTGTATTGTCAGGTATCATATACTGTTCGGAGTTATTTTAAATAGGGTATCTTTTACTTTCTCTTTATGCAAATCATAAATAGTCCAGATGAGAGGTGATCTAGAATGATGGCTTTGGAACTGGAGGAAAGGAGGGAATGTTTATGAAAGATCTTGAGAAAGTAGAAACAAGATTTGACAGCAAATTGAATATGTGGGGAGTTCGGATGAAGAAGGGTGAAGGATGTCACTGAGGTTTTGAGACTGAATTATTGGAAGGATGGTAGTAATGGGAAAATTGGGAAGGGAGGAATATTTGAAGGAAAAATAATGAATTCCACCTTGGACATTTTTGAGTTTGAGATTGCCTCCAGGACAGTTAACTTGAAATGTCTAAAAGGTGATATGAGACTGGAGTTAAGGTGAGAGACTGAGGTTTCATTCAGAGGTCTGGGAATCATCTGCATGGAGATGAGAGTTGAGCCCATGGGAGCAAATGAGATCCTCAACTAAGATAGTATAGAAAGAAGAGAGAAGAAAGCCTTGGCCTTGGGAGACACTCATGGTTAGCGGATATAACCTGGATGAAGAACTAGCAAAGAAGACTGAGAAGTAAGAGAATCAGAAAAGAGCAGTGTTCTAGAAATTTAGAGAGGAGAGAGTGAGTATACAGAAGGAGAGGGGAATCAAAAGTATCAAAGACTGCAGAGAGGTCAAGAAGTGTGGAAATTGAGAAAATACCAGTAGATTTGGCAATTAAGAGATCATTGGTAACTGGGGAGAGAGCAAAGTCAATTCAATGATGAAGTCAAAAGCCAGAGAAGTTCAGTCGAGAAGGGAACTATAGAAACGTAAAGGACATAAGATATGGGACACAGGAGGCAGCTAGGTGAATAGAGAGCTGGACCTAGAGTTAGGAAGACCTGAGTTCAAATCCAGCCTCAGACAATTACTAGCTGTGTGACCCTGGGCAAGTCACTTCACCCTGTTTGCCTCAGTTTCCTCATCTGTAAAATGAGATGGAGGAAATGACAAACCACTCCAATATCTTTGCCAAGAAAACCCTAAAATGGGGTCATGAAGAGTCAGACGCGACTAAAAAACTACTTCATAACATAGGACATAGGTTATAGAGAGATAAAGGACAATAGCTAGCTGGGGTTAATTGAATCAAGTAAGGGATTTGTAAGGATGGAGGAGGTAAGGGCATGTTTGTAGTGATTGGAGAAATATTTGAATGTTGTTAGGTGAGGAGTGAGGAAGAAGAGGAAGTGCTCAGGAATGGCCTCCAGTTTTTTCCAGTGAAGTATGAGATAAGGTCTTTAGCTAAAGAATGGGAGCAGGTGGTGCCTTTGGAGACTTGTGGGGGGATGAAAAGGTTCCAGATATCTGTGGTAGTGAATGGGACAGTGGGACAATTAGGGAGAAACTGCCTCATACTGCTTAGTTTCTGCACTCAGCCATGGCCACTGTACTATCTTATGATAATAATAGCTTACATTCATATACTGTTATGTGCCAGGCGCTACGCTAAGCACTTTGCAATTATTGTCTCATTTGAGTCTCAAAACAACCTTGGGAGGTAGATGCCATTTTATAGGTGAGGAAACTGAGGCCAACAGGTTAAATGACTTGCCCAGGGTCACATAAATGCTCAAAAAATAAAATGTTAATTAAAAATAAAAAAAAATAAGGGCAGCTAGGTAGCACAGTGGATACAGAGCACTAGCCCTGGAGTGAGGAGGGCCTGAATTCAAATTTGGCCTGAGACACTGAGTAGCCGTGTGACCCTGGGCAAGTCATTTAACCCCGATTGCCTTATCCCCCCCCCAAGTTGTTGTTGTTGTTCAGTTGTGATCCCCTTTGGGGTTTTCTTGGCAAAAATACTGAGGCAAACAAGGGTAAGTTACTTGCCCAGGGTCACATAGCTAGTAAGAGTCTGAGGCCATATTTGAACTCAGGTCTCCCTTACTCCAGACCCAGCATGCTATATCCTCTGTACCACCTATCAGACTACAATTAACTAGGGCACATTGACTTTGTAGAAACATTTATAGGATATTTTTCCTTCTGGTATATTTTGTCAGCAAGAAGACAGAGCTATAATACCCATTTGGATGTGCATCCAGGGTATGATTCTTTGGTTTTCACTTTCTGGTGTAGTGTGATACTGAGGAAAAAACACTACATTTGTAGTGTTGGATTGGAATTGCAACTCTGTTATATACCACACACTTGGGCAAATCATTTCAGCTCCCTGTTTTCTTTTCTTTTCTTCTTTTTTAAAAATTTATTTATTTTTAGTTTTCAACATTTGCTTCCATAAGATTTTGAGTTTTAAATTTTCTCCCCCTCCCATTTCTTCCCTTCCTCCCTCCAAAACAACACACAGTCTGGCATAGGTTCCACATATACATTCATTTTAAGCATATTTTCCCATTAGTCATGGTGTAAAGAACAATTAGATCTAATGGGAGGAACCACGAGAATGAAGCAATAAAACAAAACAACAAAGGAAAAGGAGAGCAAATAGTATGCTTCCATCTGTATTCAGACTCCATAGTTCTTTCTCTGGATATGGAAGTTCCCTGTCTTCTCATGTCCAAAATGATTGTATTAGATGAGTAAACTCTACAATTTCTGCTTGCTTTATTTTCCTTCATCCTCTGGTGATCTATCTTGGGGTCAAATTAATATGAGATATTCAGAGTTTGGGGCACTGGGAGCCACAGGTGGTGGGGGAAAAGAGACTTAAGCCCCAAATGTTCTTTGTTTATAACTGTTTACTTCCTTTTCTTGGTCTAAAGACATATATTATTGCAAGACTGTTTATTGAGTACCTACTATGTGCAAAGTCCATGTGGAGCACACATTGGGAGGACACATAAAAGTGTATGATATGGTCTTTTGAGCTGACTTTCTATTTGACTGTCTAGCACTGCCAGGCTGTCTTCATTATGGCATGTCAGTGTCCTGAGGAACAGTAGCTGTTGGTCAGATTGTGGGCCCTACCTTCCCCAGAGATCAATCAGCCAATCTGCAAGCATTTATTAAATACCTACTATGTACCAGGCATTGTTCTAGGCATTGGGCATACAAGTATACAGAATGAAACAATCTCTACATGCAAGCCTGCACTTGGTCATATCTGTCTGTATTTGTGTTTGGCAGTTAGAGAATGAGGTGGTTCAAAAGTTTTAAAAGATGGAAAGTTTAGAGCATTGTAAAGAAAGGAACTAGAGAGTGAAGAAGATGCTAGTGACTTAGAGCATGTTAAGTTCTGAAGTTTACCACTTAGATTTTTTTTCACCTTAATTTCCTTAATTAAGTGTCCCTTAATGTTAAATGACTACAGTCTATTGAGAACCCAGAGTTCTTCTGATTATTTATTAATAATAATTAAGAGTTATTTTTTAAACTTATTAAGAGTTATTTATTATTTATTAAAGCGAGTCATTTATTTTTTTAAAAACTCATGGAAATGTGGAGGACTGTAGGGATAAGGAGTCCCCTCATCCAGTCATCCCTCTCTTCCTTCCTTGCCCATCCAGAGCAGTAACCAGTCAGTTCATCAGCAGTTGCAGAATGGACTTGGCCTCTACTCTGGTTTTGCTATACATGACTACCTTTTGTGGGGTAAGCCTGCTGTCCATGCATGTACAAACATGATTGACTTCATGGCCAAGAGAAAGGATGTGTTGAATTTGTGGTCAATAGGAGAGGAATGGATGCATGACTAATAGTTCTTTCCAAAACAGCACATTTGCTCTGATCTTGGGAGCAGTGAGGCAGGAAATGTTTCTAGCCTTTTCTGCTCCACTTAGTAATGATAATAATAATACTAATAGAGTAAAAACATAATAATAATAATTCATGTAGTTCCTACTGTATGCCAGGGAATCTGGTAAGTGCTTTACAAATATCTCATTTGGTTCTCAACAACTAACAACCCTATGAGGTAAGTCCTATTATTATCCCCATTTTACAGTTGAGAAAACTGAGGCAGAGTGACTCGCCCAACATCACACAGCTAGTCTGAGATCAGCCTTAAACTCAGGCCTTCCTGAATCCAGGCCTAGCACTCTAGCCACTGAAATATCTTGCTCCCTATATACTTCTGATATTAGTGGTGAGTGTGATATCTTTGCTCAAATTAAGCTTTTTAATAGCCTAACAAAGGCAGGAGACAATAATTCCTTCTCTACTCTTCTTGTCTCATCTTTCCAAGCATTTTGTTAATGCAGTTTGTAAGACTGAGTCATTGATAAGATGAGGATGACTTATGAGCTGCAACAACTTGATGATTGCGAGGTACCAAACATACAGGTCTTTCCTCTTTTTCAGTGATATGCCTAACTGAAGTTATAAGACAGTAATGAATGGCTCTTTCTATTTTACTGTATTTATGTATTTGATCTCTGCCAGCCAGGATTAATGAAACCTTCTGAAGGTATCTCTAACCACTTACTTTTATTTTTTTAGTTAAAAAATCTGGATCCGTTTTTGCTATTCGATGAATTTAAAGTGGCTAAACCAGCAGGATTTCCTGATCACCCACACCGAGGTTTCGAAACAGTGAGTACAATGGTTTTACAGCAGGCATGCATGTTTCAAAACTTGCATGTTCATAAAAACTATAATTATCACTTCCATGTAAAAAAAAATGCCTTTTTTTTTTTTGTAATGAAGAACAAATAGGCCAAAAATTAACCAGCAACTTGATGGTTACAGACAAGTATTTGTGGTATTTGGAAATACTAACTCAATTTGAAGTAAATAATATTCCAATGTAGATATTTGCCATATGTTGGGCATACCTTTGAATTTGTATAACTGGAAACATTCATGTTTGCATATTTAATTTAAAATATGAACTGCTTTCTTCAAAACAAAACAATGAAAATAACTTACTAGAATAAAATCAATCAACTGAAAGAATAAAGTGAGACATTAAAATGGGATTAAAATCACTTTACACAGAAACACTTAAATGATCATTTATATTTATCATATTTCAAAGAATATTTTAAAGTAAAAAAAAAATCACATATAATACAACTTTGTGTTTCTCAGAAAGGATGTGTGGTCAGTAGGCACAGTAGGATGAAATGACAAAGTAGAACATGTACTGCTCTCACCCAGATGAATTTTTTAATCTAGATACAGAATTTGGAAGTTTTGCTCAACAAAGAATTTCCAAATAAAGTTAGACAGTGAGAAAAAAATGATTGGTAGATACGACAGGGCCAACAGATGTTTAAATACTCCATACTTTTCAAATGTCTAGTCTCTGTAGTTTCTATGACTTCTTATTTGGGGTATCTTTTGCTTCTTAGAATCTTTATAACTGCAAAGGTTCTCCTTCCTCACTCAGAGGATGTAAATGAATCAGTATTGCTTGCAGATGACAAGAAGCGCGTTCATACACAGCTCTAGTAGTAAGACCTTGTTAGGATATTGGTGTATTGCTATTGTCTGTTAGCATTTCACATATGGAATCCAAGAGGGAAAGATCATAAACGCCTTTCGGAAGCTTGACTTTGACTCCTCACTTGAGAGAATAACCCAAGGCCATTCTCTTGGTGTGTGTTGTATAGTTGGCCCATGTTGTAGATGAGACCTGACTCAGGCTGGTTAGGTAATTTAGGTTGAAATTTGAATAAAATGAGATACTGATAGTTGACGAGAGGAAGCTATAGCACAGAAAAGGTGCAGCAGTAGACACAGCACTCCTCATATCCACATAGAAATATTTCTGGTCAATAAGGTATGATGATTCAATGCATCTGCCAAGTCTGAAGGGCACTTGGGTCCTGGGCTACCTAGTCCACCATATTAAAGAGGAGAGGATTGACCAAAATGATTTTAGCTTCCTTTAGTCCCCTGTAAGCTTCCAGGTACCATCTACCTTCTTTGTTATCCATATAGGGTTGTTGTAAGAGAATTTGGTATAGTGAAATACTCTGAATTTCATCACTAAAGAAAAAATATCTTTCACCTCCACCCTATGAACTGATATTATTTGGTATTAATTATGCCAAATGGCTTGGGCAACTGCAAGAGTTTATGTTTGTCTCTGCCCACAGAAAGGGCTCTTACAGGTACCGTCTTCTAAGAGTTCATAATGTCTTTTCTCACAGTACACCTGCCCTTATTAGCCACCACAACTGTGACTCAAGTAGAGTGACTTGGGCTAAAGCCTACTGTGATGACCCTAGCCTCCAGCCTTGCCCTAAGGAATATTCCTTCTCAGATTTAATCAAGTTTAGATACTGAGACTTGGGTGGCTCAGAACTTCAGACAGATTGGGGGCTTTGTGACTTGCTTTAATTTTGGGTAGATCTAATATACCCTTATTGGCCCAATCCACAGTGCAAATTTACTAACATTCCTATGGATTGATGGTCAAGTGCTTCTTTATCAGCTCCCTGTTTCAGGAGCCTCACCCAAAGCTCCCTTTGGGACCAGAAGTAATCATCCTCCATGCACTTAGGAGGATGGCTGGTATCTGGCCTCCCTCTGTCCCCACCTCTTTTCACTGAGAATTGTAATTACCTAGGTGGTCTATGCTGTTTGAATATCCCTTTGGAATTTCACCAGTTTATCTCTCTATACCTATCTGATTCTTGGGAGAGAAAGGCCCATAGCCCAACTCTGACACCATTCAGGTGGAGCACTCCATCCAAAGGGACTCATTCGATTGTTATTTAAGCTTCTCCTGCAACCCCCCTAATTCCTTCTTGGTAAAAGCCCACCCCCACCCCCCAACCCCACTGTGGAGGAAATCATGCTTCAGTGGGAAGTAACAGAACACAAGAAAGAACATCTTTCTTATCACTAGTGATAGTTCCAAATTTGTCTCTTCACATCTGCTCCCATTCTGTTCCGTTAAAGACCTATTCTAAATAGGATTTAACACATTTCCCAGAATAACCTCTGGATGAAAGACCACATTTTCTCCTATGGCCTGTCAAACCTCATCTCTAGCAGTATCACTTTTTCACTTCTGCTTATCTGCTGGTTGCTTCTCTGACAGCATGGCATGAAATGAAAAGCTCTGTAACTAAATGCTGAATGTGCTGAAAAAATTTATATTTGCTTTTCCCTCATACTGGTAATCTAACTTGTGAAGGACCTTTAAAAATAACCAGGGAATTCTCCCTTGGCATTTATCTTCATCCTCCTTGTCGGTCTCCTTTAGCATGTATTGAACTAATCACCTCAGAGTTACTGGTGGCTTTCAATGTACTATTAGAAGGGGCCCTACCATAGGGTACCATATCTGGCCATCCAATCACCTCATGTCCTGAATGTACATTGTCTGTCCCCTATTTCAGTCATAATGTGAACATGTTGCTACTGTGATCCAATCTTACCTTTCTGCCAAAATGTTGTAGGCCAGGTCTACCTCAGACCTGTCAGGTTCCAGATCAGAACAGAATGAGACACTTTGAATAGACCGTCAAATAAATAGTTAACAAAAAGGGTTTATTTAGCCATAGTATGGTAAGGCTATTCAGAGAATACTCAAACCAATTGTTTTAGGGAGTAGTCTTAATTTGGTAGAGAAGGCAATAAAATACAGGGGAAGGAGAATTATCTCTGGTATCAGATACTGTGCATTCATATCCTTGCTCCAACACTACCTGTGTGAACTTTTAATTAAATTTTAATTAATTTATTTTTAAATTAATTTTTATGAAATTTTTATTTTTTCAATAAAACCTTCCTTATCTCTCTCCCACTTCTTCCTCTCTCTCCTCCCATTGAGAAGGAATGTTACAAACATGTATAGTCAAGAAAAACAATTGGCCATATCAAAAAAAAAAGTCTCATCTGCATCTGAGGAAAAAGAAAGAAATTACTTTTCAAATCTATGGATAAAAAAAGTTCATGATCAAATAAGGGATAGGAAGGATGACAGAAGATAAAAGAGGTCATTTTAATTAGATAAAATTAAAAAGATCTTGTACATTCAAATCCAATAGAGCTAAGATTAAAAGGTAAACATTTAACCAAGAAAAATCTTTACAAATTTTTCAGATAAATGTCTCATTTCTAAAATAATGAACTGATTCAAATTATAGGAATAAGAGCCATTCTCCAACTGATGAGTGGTCTAAGGATATGAAGAGGCAATTCTCAAAGGAAGAAACCCAGCCTATTTATAGCCATATGGAAAAAAAAATGCTCCAAATCTCTAATTAAAGAAATGCAAATAAAAGTACTTCTAAAGTTCCATCTCACAGCCATCAGATTGTTAATGAACTTTTTACTTGTTTTTCCTCTCATGGTAGATTATAAGCTTCTTGAAGGCACGAACCACCATCATCCATAAGGCCTGGAGCAGTACCCCGACCACTAAAATTTTCTCATAGGGGGTCTTCATGCAGGGACTATACAGTGTCCTATGAGGACAATGTAGAGGGGACCCCTGTTCAAGAAAGGGGTTGGCCCAAATGTCTTGACATTCTATGAGTTTCTAAAATGAGCAATGAAAAAATATCATTTTTTTCCCAACACTTTATACTGCTTTAAGTCATATCTCACATTCATCTTTAAACCATTCAGTGAAACAGGACACTTAAGGGAACTATGAAAATTACCATATATTGCCTTCCCCCTCCCCTGATCATGGTTAGATAGAAAACAAGATGAGGCTAAATAGTTGGTCTGTGAATAAGAATTTTTATACACATAAAAATTGAAAATATAACTCTCATCTCCACTAATGGAGGTATAGCAATAGGTGATCCAAAAGCTGTTTTTACTGGACTCCATTCCAAAATCAAATGCAAATATATAAACTCAGATTCTTCCTCTGCTTTCCTGAACTGTTTCCTTCATAGGGTGAGGCAGTGCGGTCTTACTTTTCTGTGGATGTGGATAATATGTGCACAGATCATAGAAAGGTGACTGTCTAAGACCCAAGTCATTAAATTTTAGTATTTTAGCATCAAAAGAGACCTTAGAAATAATCTAGTCTAACCTTTTTATTCTACAAAGTGACTGAAGTCCAAAGACTTATCTGAGGTGTGTTACCTATATGAGATACAATGTTTGACTTACCCAAGGTCACAATTACTAAATGACAGAGCCAGAATTAGAACCCAGGTCTACTGATTTTAAATCTAGCAGTTTTATGCCATATTTTCTCTCCAGATCATAGGAACATAGATATAGGTATACCCTCGAGGGTACATTCTGTCACTATCTAGAGACATATGTGACTACAAAAGCAAGGAAAAACTAGAGAGAACTTTCAGGTCTGGATTTGAAATTTCAAACCATAATTAATTTTCTCTGGGGTAGAGAAACTTCTGAAGTGCTCCATGAATAACTATACACATGATAAATATAATTTGGTGATTGAGTTTCCTATATGTAATACCATGAGGATTACATTAGGAAAATCACTGAATCACTTTGACCTCCCTGACTTATTCTACTAAACAAATGATTATCATTTGTCTAGTGTACACTTCTTCCTCTTCTCTTCTGTTCTGAAACCAAGAAAGCCAAGATCAAATTAACCTTGCGTAGCTCCTGGATGGGGCGTCTCCATCTTCTGCCAA